AGAAACTAAGAAGGGACACGCAATTTCAACGACTGCACAATGCAAAATTACGCACGTCGTACTGCAATGTAAACAAGAAGGTTAAATACAAATTTACAAGATTTTAAACCTCCTTGAATATAACGTTAGCCATATAACCAAATATGATGTTTTGGCGGTAGATCCCCTCCTAAAATCCACTCAAATATTATCTGTGTGGTGCCTTTCCTGGTCCCCCGAGCTTATAGCCACAGAAATGCAGTAAATTTAGTTGTAAAAGCTGACGTTTTTGCACCTAAAATCGAGGCAAAGACGTCCGTAGCCCTCCCCACACTAGCGAAACCGCGATTGCATGCGAAACTATTGCACCCCGTTACTGTTTTTGATCGACCAATGGGATTGTGTCGATTATATAGCATTGACCAATAGGAGTGTGGCTCTTCCACCGTGGCTGACCGAACTGGGGAGACGACTGCAATACCTCGCAGGGGAGGCGGAGGGCAAAGCGTCACTAGCAGTGGTTTGTTTTGATCTGCGATTTTAACCAAGTGGTTCGCTATTTCCGATATCGGTCAGGCCTTCATAATGGATTGAAATGTCGTAGTGCACAGCAAATGATGTTTTCCCCGGATGGAGACCTGGATATTCTGTCTGAGGACGGAGAGTTCGCCGCAAAGCTGTCCAGGTCCGGCCCCCCTCCCTACGGCTATGCAGGCCAGCAGAGGACCGAGGCTCCTCAGACCACTACCGACTCCCATGAATCAGGTAATGTTTAGTAAGCCCGTTTATGTCAAGGGGCTTCATAACGTCCTTGGTTACATGGGCATGTCGTTATTGGAAACTATTCCGTGGTAAAGGGGGGGGGGTGATGTCTACAATTTGTTTATTTTTGTGTGACCTAGATTTCAGACAGGTCTGAAAAACAAATAACAAGTTATCTTATGTCAATAGAATGGCTATCGATTTTCGCCCTGTAACCGTTAACACCAAGAAAACGTTAACCTTCAATGCAAATTTGTATCTACTGTATTTTATGCATAACGTTACATACAGATACAACACATAACTTTACATAATTTATTTTGACGGAGTACACACATACCAACACGCATACATACGCATGCATGCATGCACAGTATTGCACACACATACCACATACACAAGTAAGTTCAACCAACACACATACACATATGCACCCACATGTAATAACCAATATACATAATGTTATTCTAGTAGACATAACTTTTTCACCTCTCACTTCACTTCACATTACATAATATATGCATGATCTTTGACTTTTATGCAAGAGGGATGTTAGTGCCAGACGAGTTCACATGTAACTGTTACATTTGTATGACTATAAATGTATAGTATAATTACATGTCATGATAACCCTGACCGCTACAGATGCAGAGTCTCCTCGGAGTTGGAGTTCTGTTTTGTCGCCGTCGCGAGTGCGTGTGGGCGTGTCCTCCTGGTTAGAGACAGGCAAGCAGCTGAGTTCCCGGGTCCACGCCTTGGTGAAGGATACCACTGCAGGTATGTGCTCTGGGACTGAGGACAGAGTGTGTGTAGGACAGTAGGACAATTATTTGGAGGAAGACATCAAGATTGCTCTTGGTCTTCCCTTCAAGTACTGTATCATCTGTACTGGTAAATGTTATTATTATTGTTTATCCAGTATACCTGCTCTTCAAATAGGAAATTGAAAAATTTTCACATCTCCTTCAGTCCTTAGACTGTGACTTTCTTTTCACTATTGTGCTCTTGCTGATTCAGTGCATGTTCCATGCTGTAGGGAGACCATTTTGACCTCCAAGTAGCCCTTCCTGTTAGTAGACTACATGTAACTGTGATTACTAGACTAAGTATGCCACCCCACCCCCACCCACACACACTTTCTATTCAAAACAACGGACACACAAGTAAACAATCAGACAGACACACCAATATCATGTGGACATACATGTAACCACTAAACCCACCCTGTCCTCCCAGTCTCTCCTGCCAGTCCAGTGAAGGTGGAGACAGACGCTCCCCTGACAGCCGAGGACGTGCCTGTGTCTCCACAGCTCATGAAGTCAGTGGCCCTCGCCTTCCGCAGACAGGAGGAGATCAACAAGGTTTGTTCTTCTCTCTGATGGCCTCTGTTGAATATCAAACTTTTCTTGTGCCATCCCTAAGCCATTGAGGTACATATCCCATGTATTGAAGCCAACATATCAATATGAACTGCTCTAAACTTTAAGCTACTCGGTGCCCACTTCTAGCTACATAAGGACCACCTGACCAATGTGATCTCTTTTTTCTGCTTCCTCAGATAATTTTTCTCAGTGACACTAGCATTAAAATCCTGTCTCAGTGATCACCTGTCCACATAGACCAGATTTTATCAGTTCCTTGAGTGGTCTTGTTAGTGAGTTTTGACTGTACTGTTGTTCATATTCCTCTGTGTTTCTAGGCAAATGCAAATCTGTGTAGGCTGAATTATGCTGTGAATGTGGCCAATTATGTCAAGCACAAACAAGTAGAGGTGAGTCCAATTGTTCAACAAAATTCTTTTTTAAAATAAATGTGTGTGTACTTAATATTTATAAGTTGATATCAGTGTAGTGTGTTGTAAAAATGTTTGTTGATAGTTTAGGTTGTTAGGGGAATGATTTTGGCTTAGTTTTTGGTGATGGATGCATCTACTACTTGTGGCCAGTTAGTGCATTGATTGTTTCTACTCGTGTTTTCTTTCATAGCAAGCTGTAGTGCAGGGACAGAAGCAGCTGTGGAAACTCAACAACAGAGTTCATCACCAGGCAGAGACTATAGGTAACCGTAACACGAGTCCTTATCCATGGGCTGGCCGGGGCTTATAGACTCTTTACATTTGTACCTCTGCTGAGGAGGTTTTGCCTTGGCTAGACTGTATATTTACTACCAGTAGTTGGATGGAGATGACATATTTAGAGATACAAGTGGATCGTTATGACACTTATGATGTCAGGCCTTGGTCAAATGAGCAAGTCATTATTTTTGATAAAGAGTGTTGGTTAAGCGAAGGTTGTAACATTCCGTTGACTGGTGCTGTCCTGCTGTAGGTCACCTCCAGGATGGCGTGCGGAACCTGTCCACACAGGTCCAGCTGCAGAAGGAGACAGCACAGAGGATGAAGAACAGCATTGATGCACAGCAGCAGCTGTTCAGCTCCACCATACTGGAGGTCAGTCACATCTTTTATTTTGTATAACCTGTAATCTGCCTTTGTGCACAGCACACCAGTTTTGTGCAGTAAGTACCAGCTGTGTAAAGAGACTAAAGACTGGACTGTAAGATTTGATTCACTGTGTCATGGGATCCTTAACAGTAACAATAATGCAGAGGTGTGGCTCTCTGCAAACACAAGGCCTATCTCATTATGTTCCCTATGAAAGGAAGTCCCTAACTGAGGCTAGGTACTCATTTTCACCTGCGCATGCATTGAGTGAAGAAATAGGTGTAAAGGGCATCCTCTTGAATTATTTTTTGACCCTTGTTTTTGTTTTCAGAACCGAATGGAACTGGAAAGACAGCAGAGTCTTTTGGCCAAGCAGCAAGCTGCCATGGATGTAAGTTCTGGACACTTACAGAATTTGTGCATCATGTCCCAGTAACATATACAAACATGGTTACATTGTACTGAAAACATAACTGTGGCAAAATGGCAGAAATTGTAAGATGCAGACTTCCTTGTAAACAGTGATGTGTGTGAATCTATGTATGAAGAGTTGGATCCTAGCCTGACTTTGTATCATGTTCCCTTTGTGTTTCAGCACTTGATCAGACAGAAACTGAAGCATGACTTCTTTGTAGATAGTGGGTAAGTTGAGATTATAATGGACTGCACTTTTAGTTTTTGGCTTCAGTGTAGACAAAGGACACCCTAGCTGGTTGCTGTCACCAGTAACAATCTTAATTTCATATTACAATATTAAAATTTAGTTTCTATTTCTTCATATTTCTATTTTGAAAGGATTTTTCATTTTACAGTATGTACATGTAACATGTGCTTTTCTGTATTACAGACTTCTTGTAGGAACAGTATGGTTTGTGAACAGCTTGCTGGTTGACTACCCACTGAAGACAGTCTTAGTGTTTGTACCCAGAACCAAACTCAGAAACTGGTGAGTTTTCACTGATTAGGAATGTGTGTGTACATGTATGTGTGTGTATCATGTGTATGCCAGTGTGTGTGTGCATGTATGAAAATGAAAGTAATTGCTGGCTATTATAGATTGGCTTGAAATTTTTCCAGTAATAAAATCTTCCTCTGTTTTCTATGTTTCAGGCTAAGACAGGCCACAAAGGCACTGCTTGTTCTTCAGATGATGGGTCTGTTGAAGTCCTGGTCTGTAAGATGTGGCCTGCATAACAGGTAAGAGCTCCAGTGTTCAGGGTGTGGCTCTCCACAAACATGGGACCTCCTTGTAACATCCCATTCGAGGGACAGACCTGGTAAAAGCTGGGTACTCATTTTTCCCAGAATGAAGTGAGGAATTTCGTGTGAATCACTATCAAGACATAGTCTCCACCAGACAGGGGCAATGGAGCTTCTCTGGCCGGCTACCTTCTCTGGCCAATTAATACCCTTTTTAGGCCGATTTCTACGATTTATTCACCCCGCAAAAGAAGTCTGGTGGAGACTAATCAAGACATACATTTTAATTATTAGTTTTTTCCATGGTACTGACTAACTCATTCTTGTTTCCCAGTGTTGGATCTTTGCTTCCCTACATACAACATGCCAGCACAGTTGCCATGGCCAAGCTGCAGGAACTGAGAGCTGTGAGAGTGTGGAGAAGACGACCGGCCCTCCCACCAGACCAGGGTGATGATGATGATGCAGACAGACCACCGCAAACTGCCCTGAATCTGTGCTGAACATTGTAAACTTTGTAAAAAGGATCAGGATATTTTCTTATATTCAAGGGCTGTTTGGAAGTAAGGAATAAATGTTTGATTTAGCAGTTTAATAATTAGAATATCAGTTGAGGAATATCCATCCATATTTTACCACATTGAAAAGTATATAATAGAAAATGAAGTAATATTTTGACTTTTACATATTTTCATATTTGACCATCTGTAAAGTTCCTGGAGATGGTGATCAGTTCTGGAGATGTAATGATTTTATAGTTTTGAGTAACAGTTATAGGAGCTTTAATATGCTTCACGTATGGGCCAGTTATGTCATTTAAAAAGTACATGCATGCAATAACGTCAACCAAGGCTGTCATGTTTGACAAGTCTGTGAGTCCTAAATTAAAGTTCCTTGATTCGACGCAAAACATCAGCCAGTATCTGGCTTCCAAGGAAACACTTGATGTTAGGATGATCTTACAAGAAATATGTTACAACTTACATCTCCTGTAAAGAAAGACCACAAGTACATTATGGCTCAAAAACACTAAACAACGAAAACTGCTTTAAGTGTGGTTAAGAGTCATTGCGATCTAATAAAATTACATTTATAGATTGCTGTTGTACCGAGTCATTGTAGATGTTTTTGTGGAGGCAGTTACAGTAATTGTTGTAACAGAATGACTTTTTGAAAAGTTTTGAATAACTGGTACTCTCAGCTCTCTATTAAACGTACCGGTACGTTTATTTTTTTTCGCCTCGAAATCCGCCCGGTACGTTCTTATTTTAGACGGTACGTTTATTATTTTTTTCAGAATCAAACCAAGTTCAGGACAAATTTTCGGTCCTGAACATAAAAGTTTGAACATAGATTTTCAAAATTAGGGATTTTATTCCAACATTTCCCCGATAATTTTACAAATTGGGGATTTTATCCCCGATAAATGTGCTCGTCATTCCAATTTTCTTCGGCCAGGCGGCGTGGATCGAGCGCTAATCGGGCCACTATTCATTCCATTGCCGGCACAATCTTGTGAATTGACGATTAATTGTCGATCTCGCCATGACGCCGCAGAGAAAACTTTGTTATTGGTAGAAAATCTGACACGCCGCTGGCGTTTCACAACAAAATTTTAATGTAAACAACTCCGAATGTCTTTGTTTACATCGTGAAAGCTCACCGATACTCCCGCCGGCCGGCCGCGCCCGACCACATGGTTGAGGCATGACGCTAGTTTTCGGCAGCTCGGCGGAAAAATAATCCATCCCCAGAAGAAATGTTACGCATGAAAATAACAACTATAACTTGCTTTCCTCGTTATATGAGTTTTTGAGGCCGTAAAATGTTTAAAACGGTTGAAATTTGCTCGAAAAACGGCTCGAAAATCCACGACGAGACTGCCAAAATGGCCGACAGTGTTTCACAATAACAGTGGTCAAAGGTCAAGACTGCATCCAAATGTACAAGATACATGTACAAAGTACACATTACAATGTGCTAAAACGAAACTTTAAACGCATGAAAAAAATTTGTCGGCTACAACTGAAATAAAATTCAGTAATATTTTATAAGGTTAATTTTCAAACATTACTGAGAAATTTTCCGAATTTATTGGGTTTTTTTTTGTGTTAAAATGTAATATTGTTTCTATGAATGTGCGGTTGGATGCTGTGATTGTGAAGTCCCTTACATTGGGAGAATCAGATGAGATATTAGAGATTATCACGCTTAGTACCGCGACCCGAGTGTCTCTCAAAAATTGTTTTTGAGTAGAGTTTATAGACATGATTTATTTGTTTAGCTTTGTCAATATGTGATTTGTTTGGGAAATAGGATTTGGTTTAGTTTTTAATATATTTATGTCAGTAATATGTTAATGTTAATATATTAAAACTAAACCGAAATAGGATTTGGTTTAGTTTTAATATCTAATGTCAGTAACACTTTGGAAAACTTGCTCCAAGTTCCAGGTAGTAAATACATGTACATTTTGTATCATGTATTCTTCACTTGTTGAACTTGTGGAAGCACCGT